CAGATTTGTGTGTATTGATTTTGTAGCCTGAGACTTTGCCGAATTCATTTATCAGTTCTAGGAGTCTCTTAGATGAGTCCTTGGGGTTTTCTAGGTATAATATCATATCATCATCAAAGAGTGAGAGTTTGATCTCATCTGTCCCCATTTGGACACCCTTAATACCCCTCTCTTGCCTAATTGCTGTGGCAAGAATTTAAAGCACTATGTTGAATAGAAGTGGAGATAGAGGACAGCCTTGTCTAGTTCTGTTTCTAAGTGGGAATGGTTTCAATTTTTCCCCATTCAATATGATATTGGCAGTGGGTTTGTCATAAATGGACTTGATAATTTTAAGGAAGATTTGATACAGGGCAAGGACTTACTAATTGCTTATACAATGTGGACTATGAAAAGAATACTAAAGGTCCCAACTACTGGAGAAGCAGAGTAATGATGGTGGCAGAGAAATTTCTGGGTGCCAGACACAAACTCACGTTTGCTGTAGCTAGCTGTGGAAGCTTCAGCCAGGAACTTTCTCATTTGGGCTCGGAAGGCACTGCTGGAGAGATTCCTGGTGTTGCTATCAGAACTGCTAAAGGATGAAGTTTGTCATGCAGGAGGAGTCCCCGCATGATGGCAAGGCTCCTGAGAGGTTCCTGCAGGATTACTCTGATGGCAACCTGAAGAGATACCTGAAATCTGAGCCTGTCCCAGAGAGCAGTGATGGGTCCTAAAGGTAGTAGTATCAGAAAATTTTGATGAAATAGTGAATAATGAAAATGAAGATGTGCTGATCAAATTTTATGCTCCTTGGCATGGTCACTGTAAGAATCTGGAGCCCAAGTATAAAGAACTGGGAGAGCAACTCAGCAAAGACCCAAGTATTGTTATAGCCCAGATGGATGCCATAGCCAGTGATGTGTCTTCTCCACATGAAGTCAGGTTTTCCTACCATCTACTTCTCTCCAGCCAACAAGAAGTTAAATCCAAAGAAATATGAGGGTAGCTGTGAATTGAGTGATTTTATTAGCTTTCTACAGTGAGAAGCTACAACCCCCCCCCCCCCAATAATTCAAGAAGAAAAACCTAAGAAGAAGAAGAAGGCACAGGAGGATCTCTAAAGCAGCAGCCAGACACACTTTGTAAAAGGACTCTTCCACCAGGGATGGGAAAACCATGGGGGAGGACTGAGACCCATATGGTATTATTACCTCTCAGGGCTGAGAGGGCACAATGAGTATAATCTGAATCCTATTAAAATGTTCTCTAAACTGTTTCTTAGCTGCACTATTTACGGAAATACCAAAACCAATTTACATGTGTGGATTTGGGAAAAATTACTTGTGTTGGGGGAAATGTGAGGGCGGGGGTAATTGAGCTGGGGGGTTATTTTCTAATTTTTTTTTGTACATTTGGAATAGTGATGATAAATGAGCCCCATTTAAACTGTCATTTTTCCATGGGATAAAGAATCAAACGTTCTCTAGACTATCACTGTCCAATAGAACTTTCTGCAGTGATGGAAAAATAAAAATAAAAAATAAAAATCATTTTTTCTTGGCACAAAGAGAAAAATAAAAAACACCCATAATCATATCACCCAACCATTGATAATATTTGTTACTGTTTTGGTATAAAAGCCTGCATACTTTCTGCAAATGTGAGAAGTGTGTGTATTTTATATACAAATGTTTTCCATAAAATGGGAATATCCTGCAGCATGTGATTTTCAATGAGGACTCTTCCCTGAGTGGCTCGGAGCCCAAGCACAGGCATGGCTGCAGGCCTTTCTTCTGAACCTCAACTTCCTCAGGGCAGTAGAGGCAACAGAGCCTTTCCAACTCCTGAACTCCAGAAACCTCTCTGTTATGGACTGAACTTTGTTTCTTCAAATTCATATGTTGAAGCCCTAACCCCCTCATGTAACTGTATTGGAGATGGGGCTTTACGGGAGGTAATTACAGCTAAAGGAGGTCATAATGGTAGACCCCTAATCCAACAGGACTGGTGTCCTTATAAGAAGAGGAAGAGAGACCAAGGTTGCCTCTTTCTCCACGTGTGCACAGAGGCTATGTGAGGACACAGAAGGGGCCACCTGCAAACCAGGAAGAGTGGCCTCACCAGAAACAACCCTGCCAACAGGGTTTGCAGGGTTGGTTTCGGACTTCTAACCCTCGAACTGTGAGAAAATGAATGTCTGTTGCTTAAACCACCCAGCCTGGTGTTTTGTTATGGCAGCCAAGCCAACTAATATCCCCAAGGCTCCCTCCCGGTGACCCCCTAGTGGAAGTGGCCAGGACGGTGAGGAGCACACACTCCTGCTTGCAGCTCGCACCCGCCCCCACCTGCAGGGCAGAGCTTCTCTCAGCACCACAGCTTGTCCATTGCCCTTGGCGAAAGCAGAGACCATGATGCCACAGGGAGTTTTTCTCTCATTGTCCTCAAGATGTTAGATTTAGTTTCCTCACGTTTTTCAGAAACAGAAAGGAGAGACGTGATTGAAGGGGAAAGATATTTCACTTCTGAGAGGATTTCAGTCCCATGGAGCAATCCAATCTCTCCTCCGAATCACCAGGCAGTGTCTTAGTCCACTCAGGCTGCCATAACAAAACACCATAAACTGGGTGGCTTATACACCAGACATTTATTTTCTCACATCCCTGCAGACTGGGAGCCCAAGATCAAGGTACAGGCTGATTTGACTCCTTGGTGAGGACTCACTTCCTGGCTTGCAGATGGCTGCCTTTTCACTGTGCCCAAACATGGCAGAGAGAGGGAGGGGGGGCATGTGGGGGAATGAGCACACACATGCTAGAGCTCCTGGTGTTTTATAAGGACAGTGATAGTCCCAACTCTTGTGATCTAATCACCTCCCAAAGTCTCCACCTCCAAATACCATCACATTGGGGGTTAGGGCTTCAACATATGAATTTTGGGAGGACACAGTTCAGTCCACAGCAAACAGTGACTCCAGGGGAGGGAAATGCGGGGAAAGATGTGTAAAAAGCTGATGGGGAGGGGTTGTCTTGGAGTACTTCTGCTCTTGTCCAAAATATGGCAGGAGAGGCTTGTGTACTGATGTCAGCTGGGAAACTGACTCAAAGAATCAAAGTCTGAGTCTTAGGCTCTAGTTTGCTTCTCGATCTAGGGACTATTTTTAACCCTCTTCTTCTCGTTTTCTGCCCTGCCCTCCTGCAGACCAGCCCTACCTCACACACAACTTGGAGAGTCTTGTCTGTAGTACAGCAAGGCTGGAAACAGACAGACCCTTCCTGTGTTGCCAAGGCGAGGATGCTGCAGGTGGGGCGAGTGTGGTTTGTGGGGAGGGAGCTCCGCTAGAGAGGCTTGAGGGCTCAGAACAGTGGTTTTAGCAGAGGAGAGAGACCCCCACCCTGCCTGAGGCCCTTCCATTAGAGCACAGCATCTGCTTGGCTGATCTGAACCTGATCTGACCGGTGCTACAAGAGGATACCATTTACACGGTTGCTTTGGACTCTTAAGATAACCAATATTTATTTATGTATTTATTTTAATTTCAGCATGTTACTGGGGTACGAATGTTTAGGTTACATATATTGCCTTTGCCCCACCCGAGTCAGAGTTTCAAGTGTGTCCATCACCCAGACGGTGCACACTGCACCCATTAGGTCTGTATATACCATCCCCTCCCTCGCATCTGCCTGACACCCGACGAATGTTATTACTATATCTGCACTTATGAGTTGATCAGTTAATACCAATTTGATGGTGAGTACATGTGGTGCTTGTTTTTCTATTCTTGGGATACTTCACTTAGAAGAACGGGTTCTAGCTCTATCCAGGATAATACAAGAGGTGCTGTATCATCCTTGTTTTTTGTGGCTGAGTAGTGGTTTACATATACCACATTTTATTAATCTACTCATGTACCGATGGGCACTTGGGCTATTTCCACATCTTTGCAATTGTGAATTGTGCTGCTATAAACATTCTAGTGCAGATGTCTTTTTTATAGAATGTCTTTTGTTCTTTTGGGTGGATCAAATGGTAGTTCTCCTTGTATCTCTTTGAGGTATCTCCATATTGCTTTCCACAGAGGTTGTACTAGTTTGCAGTCCCACCAGCAGTGTATGAGTGTTCCTATCTCTCCACATCCACACCAACATTAATCCTTTTGGGACTTTTTGATAACGGCCATTCTCACTGGAGATAAGTGATATCTCATTGTGGTTTTGATTTGCATTTCCCTGCTAATTAGAGATGTTGAGCATTTTTTCATGTGTTTGTTATCCATTAGTCTATCTTCTTTTGAAAAGTTTCTGTTCATGTCCTTTGCCCACTTTTGGATAGGGTTGTTTGATTTTTTTCTTGCTGATTTTCCTGAGTTCTATATAGATTCTAGTTATCAGCCCTTTATTGGATTACACAGGTGCAATTTGGGAAGTGATGAAGTACCTCTGGCCTGGGCCATCTGTTTATCCTTCTGTTAGCAGAGGCCTCCATTTCTACCTTGTCCTTTGGCTCTAGGCTGAGGCAGTGGCTGCTCCAGGTAGAACTCCTGAGAGATGAAAGAGTGTGAGATGAGATGCAGCATTCCTGGAGTGAGGATTGCCTAGCGGACGAGGCAGGGCAGGGTTTCCCTGTGATGTGAGGGGGAAGGCACGTCACCATGTTGCGGTGTATTTGCTTATGTTGGGGAGGGTGGGGCTGTCCAGGAGAATACAAGGATCCAGGAGGAGAAGCTGGGGGGAGAATCACTACATTCAGTCTTCATCTTCTTTCCAGTCCCAATTTTGCCTGGGACTTGTCATGGTGAGGGACACAAAGTTAACACTGACAAGACCAGTCAGAATATGGCTCACACACATTGAGCACTGAAATAGGCCTCATCTTACGTATCTTGACCAAACCCCAGCAGGCGAGTTGTGTTGTTGTCCTCATTTGCCAAGTGGGGAAACGGGTGCTTCCAGTGAGGATAAGTAACTTTTCCAGGGCCACCCGCCATAGGGCTGGAGTCAGGATTTGAGCCCAGACTCAACTAGTTGCAGAGCTTATGACCTTATCCACCACACTCCATTCTGGTCCTTGCCTGAACTGCAGGTCTGGTAGGGATGGAGGAGGCCTGGAAGCTTGGGGGATTCTCCTCAAGGACAGACTGCAAGTCCCCAGTCAGGGGACCTGGGGGAGGAGGAGGTCCTTGAATGGGAGAGTTGTTTCCCACGACCTCTAAGGTTCCTGCCAGCTCTGAAAGCTTGGAGGCCACGATCATCTCTCTGCATTACAACGATCAAGGCTTCCTCTGGCCTAGCTTGTGGACGTGCCGACTTTCTCTTCTTGGATAGCTGGAAGCTCCACAGCTTGGCATCCGAAGCCCAGCATCACCCAGTGCTCCTGGACCATCTCAACGTATCTCCACCCCCAGACGAGGCAGCAGCATGTGGTGTTGGTGCTCGGGAGCTCTGGAGTGTGGGTGAGGGTGGGAGAAGTGAGACTGCTCAGAAGTTGGGGCGCTATGCCGGGGTGGAGGTGATGAAGAATGAGCATGACCTGAGGCATTGTGGGGCACTTATAAGATTTTGTAAGCAATGAGGTGTAGGGGAGGGAAGGGGGAGGAGGAATAGACAATTCACCTTTTTATACCAAGAATAAAATGGAATAGAAGAAAATGAATAAAAAATCTTAGCTTTCATTATTTTGGGGATTGAGATGGGATAATATGCCAGGCCCTTTTGTCATTGAACACTCCCAACTATTTCATTGCAGATGAGACTACTGAAGCCTAAGGCAGGCTAAATAGGGGAGGTGGCAGAAAGAAAGTGGCATTTGGGAGGTGAAGTTTTCATTGGAGGAGATTAGGATGAATCAACATTTGGGAATGACTTCAATGAAAGAGAAGAGAAGCCCCATACGTGTGGGAACTTCTCTTTAAGGGCTATGGATCTGACTTCTCCTCTTTGTGCCTCTCCCTGGGGCTGGGGCTGGCAGCTCCAACCAGGAGAGTGTGACGAGGAGAGCGAGCCTCACGAAGGAGGCAGTGGTCAACCAGGATAGATGCTGCGGTGGGGTCTGGAAACATGGACAGGGAGGTCGCCACTGGCCATGGTAGCAGAGAGTCATGAGTGAGCCTGGCTGAAGGGGTTCCAGTGGAGCAGAGAGCAGCAACTGGATGGAGTGGGCTGAGCACAGACTGGAGTGAGAGGGTGGGAGGGCCGCTGGGAGTGCGGAGAGCCTCTTAGTGGGTTCTGCTGTGTGTAAGGTGGAGAGAGAAATGGGGCGGCCATAGTGGGGGGAGAGTCA